CCTCTTTAAATAAAGTGTTAAATAAAATTAAATAAGAGGGAGACATTTTTTTCACTCATTATATCAGACATTACATAGCTAGCTTGAGGCTAGGGATTTTTCCTTTTATCGCGACCACCAGCTTTTAATCGCTCGCCTTCAGCTTTCCACCTCCTCCCATGCAACTTCGTTTTAGGATCCCATCGATCGCCGAGATCCTCGAGGCAATGCCCCGAGTCCCCGACACAACCGAGCATGAAAGGCAATAAGCAGGACCCAAACAGGCATTTGTTTAAGGCAGGATGAGCATGTTTTACGTCCCGACTGTTTCGTCAGGACATACTTCCTCTTTTTTACGATTTAGGCATATTGCAGTCTGAAAAAAATACAAAAAACGAGAAAATTCACCGTGCCAAAATTTTGAATCCGGGTGAAGAAAAACTGAGCTGGCGATTCAACTAACACAGGTAAAAAAAAAGGGGCCTATAATAATGTTAAGCCTTTACCACTGTATAGAGTCGATCATCAACACTAGATTTCTAGACAATCTCAGTCATAAAACTGTAACCTTCACTCTTGTCCATGCGTCGCAACGGAGCTGAACAATATCTGTACTCGTTGGTCGTGGAAACAAGAGAAAATGATCAGATCAGACCTCACAAGCGTGAGCTTCCAGAAGGTGACCCCTTAGAAGTGTCCTTTTTTTAGTCCCCGTTCGAACGCAGTCCGAAAACGGAGACTTATGTTTTGACCTCTGTGTCTGTGCGTGCGTGCGTGCGGACCTGTATCTTAGAAATGCCTGGACCAATCACAATTAAACTTCACACATACATCATACATGATATTATACATATGCACGTCAATTTGTTTCACAATCTGATTCAAGATGGCCGAATGGCGGCCATTTTTGTGCTAAAAATCATCAAAATCAAGCATTTCTCGGCTGTTCAAACTTGGTATATACATTAGACATTATGGGACCTTGGATGCACATTTTGTTTTACGATCTGATTCAAGATGGCCGAATAGCGGCCATTTTTGTGCT